GTCTTATAAGCTGTTAGCTCTGTCCTGTGCTTGGCAGAAACTGGAGGCAGTGACACCTATGAAATGTATTAAGGATGACATAATAGATTGTGAAGAATGAGAGTGCTTTTCTGGATGCTATAGTGTTTTATAATTTTTAATATGCATCTCCTGAGTCTGTGCATTTGATGATACTCACTTTGGATTAATACAAGTGAAAAAACAAAATCCAGTGCCAACTCTGAGCATGACTGAAGTTTCATGTATAACATACCCTTTCACTGTCATTAATAGGAGGTATTAAGGTAAAGAAAAGCTGTTTGTTCACTGTTTTGAATTTCACCATGCTAGAAAAATCAGTCCTATGACACTCAAAATTAACATCTCATTTACTTCTTGGGTTTCTGAATTTATCTCTGAAATCCTCTTGTCAACAAATATACATTCCAGCCATAATATAGGTATTTTATTTTTGTGTACATGCATTTAGGTGCTGCTCTTGTGAATTAGAGAAGAAAAGCAGCAGGATTCAATTCCTTCCCTCAGAAAACCCTTTAATCAGTTTAAATAAAATATTGTTTCCTTCCTAGAGCAACTATTTCTAAGTCACATCTCTAAGGTGAGTGCCTCTTTGGAAAGCGTACTGAACACAAGAAGTTTGTAAAAGGGAAAAGTTCTGGTGTGTGCCCTTAACAGAAAGTGTTGGAACACAGAAAGTGTTGCAGAGTTTGTTAAGTCATGGATGAACAAAAATGCTCCTGATGACTGTATTACAGCTTGCTGTTGTTGCTGAGCACATAGTACTGTGAAAAAAGTGTGAGCTTAGAAGCAGGTCCCACTCTGGATTCATACAAGCAAACCCCAAATACCAGGAACTTTGAGGCCACAGGGCTTGCTGTGTGTCAGGGCTAGTGAGGCAGGTAAATGCTCACCTCAGTGCCAGGGAAATGTCTGATCTCTCACCAGCTACCAGAGAAGAGGTCTGTGAGCTTTCTAATTCCCAGCCCAATCCTACCCAGGCTTCTTCCCTGTGTCTCTGTGCTAGGAGGGACAAGATGCTGTGACTGTGAAGAAGGGATGCAGCAGGTTCAGGGTCAGACCTGCCCCCCATCACCTCCTGTCCGTGTTCCTGGCAGCAGGGAGCTCTCCTGCTCTCCCTCTGTTCTCACCTGGCTCCCTGTCCGGTCCCAGCAGGAGGGTTGGTGCAGCTGGGAAGTGGATGGGGTGAGGAGGCTGACCCACAGCAGAGCAGAAGGTGTTTCCTGGTGCTCAGTGGCTCCCTGTTGTCACCGGAGTGCAGGGACACGGGTGGGAGGCTGGACTGCTGGCTCTACAGCTGTGTCACAGTCAGGCAGCTGAAAATACCCGTGCAGCTACGGCCTCACACTCCGTTCCAGGGAAAGTTTCCCTGAAAGTGTTGCTTTGGTTTGGTCAGGAGGACGACTCATCTATGGGCCTTTTAGTCTGAAACAGGAATTTTCCTCTGGTGGTTCACAGTGCTCACTTCTTTCAAAAGCCGTAAGGACAACAGTAAAAAAAATCAGAGTGAAAGGGAAAAAGTTGGGAAAAAGTCTTATGCCATTTAGTCTCTTTCATGTTGATTTTTATTAGTTTGATGTTTCTAAACCGGACAATCCATCCCAGTGGATTTCTGCCTGGCAATACAGAAGACCCTCCTCATGGCTTTCAGCAACAAAGAAAAACCTGCCTTCTTGCCATGCATATCTGAAGGTTGGCTAGAGTCAAAATTACTTATTTAAAATATATAGGTCACTCACTCACTATTAGAGGCCTGCTATTTATTTTCTGTCTGCTCAACTGTTCAAGAATATTTGGGCTTGCTCTTTCTGTCTGTCTTTCTTTCTGTCTGTCTTTCTGTCTGTCTGTCTTTCTTTCTGTCTGTCTCCTCATTGTAATATATTTTTGGAAGTCTCCCCTTTCCATGTTCTGTCTTGAAAGTAAAAGAAGAAACGCGTCTAATCCTCACTTTGTTACTGGTGTGGCTGCTGACACAATTGCCGTGATTTTTTTTTTTTGGGGGGGGCGGGGGTGGGAGGGGGAAAGAAAAAAGAGGGAGAAAAAAAGACAACAGCCACATTCCTGATTTTATTTTTCCATAGGAAAGCCCCAGTTCCCTTAAGACAATGCTCGGCCTCAAAGGCGAGCCCTGGTGTTTCTGGTCGCTGAGGTGAGCTTACCTACAAAGGAGCAGGGCACCGCATCAACACCCAGTGACGAAAGGTGCGAAAACCTCTTCCGAGGATTTGGGTATTTTAATTGTTGCTGTTATTACTTATTTATTTTGCCATCTCAGTGGGCAGCGGACGAGCCGATCGGCGTGCGGGGCCGGCCGTGTCCGGGCGCTGCCCCTTGGCGGGGAGGGGGTCCCGGCGGGCTCCGGCCGTGACCCCGGCAGGGAAGCCGTGCTCCAGCCGCCTCGGCGTGGGGAGCCTGTGCCGCACTGGGAAATGCAGCGGCGCTCGCTCGCTCGCTCCCTCCCTGCCCGGGGGGGTGAAGTGCGAGGCAGCGGGAGGAGCCGTGCGTGTCTGTGTGTGTGTGTGTCTGTGTGTGTGTGTGCGTGTGCGTGTGCGAGGAGCGCCGTGGCCGCCGTGTTTCCTGGTGCCTGCTCCCTGACCCCAGTGGCAGCCCCGCTCACTGCACCGCAGCCGCTCCCGCAGCCGGAGCCCAGCCGGAGCCAGGGCCGCCGCCGCCGGGCGCCGCCGCGGGGTCGGGCGCAGGCTCTGCCCCGGCCGCGCCCCCGCAGCCCCATGGAGCGGCCCCGCTGCCCGCGCTGAAGGCATCCCCGACCCGCCCGCAGCGGCAGCCTGCGGAGGGAAGGTGAGCGGCCCCGGGCCGGTGTCGGGAGCAGGGGGGCACGGCGGGGGCAGCGGAGCACAAAGCGGCGGGTTAGAGGTGCCGTGTCATGGGCGACAGCGGAGGGGGGCGGGCGGCAGCTCCGGCGGCGGCGCCGGTCCAGCCTCCCGCGAACAATGCTGAGCGTGAACGCGGCCGCCCGCGCCCCCGCCGTGACCGCCCGAGCCCGCCGGGTCGGGTCGGGTCGTGTCGGTGCGGCGGCAGCGGCGCTTCCCCGCAGCCGAGGCGGCGGTGCCGGCGGCGCTGAGCGAGGCTGCCCTGCCCTGCTCCGCTGCCCAGGCCGTGCCCCCGCTGCCCTCCGCCGCAGCCCGGCCGGGCGCAGGGGCGGCGGCGGCGCGGGGCCGGCGTGCGGGGCCGGCGCGGGGTCGGGGCCGGGACCGGGTTGCGGCGGCGGGGCCGGGAGGGTAGGCCGGGAGCATTGTGCTGGCTGGGGCCAGCGGGCGGGCGGGCGGGCGGCAGCCGGCGGGCGCAGCGCCGAGCAGCCCGGCGGGCGCGGAGGGAGCCGGGGATGGGGGGAGGCGAGGGGGGGACACGCCGCAAAAGTAAGGAGGGAAAGGCGGGTTGGCTCGGCGTTGCCCGGCGGAGTTGCCCCTCGCCCTTTCGCCGGCAGAGAAGCCGCTTTGAAACCCTCATCCCGGAGGCCTCAGACACTTGGAGCCCTTGGAGGGGTCGCGGGCGCGGTGCGGGGGTCGGCCCCGCCGCAATAAAAAGCGGCGGGCATCACACCCCCGCCCGTCCCCGCCGCGCTCGCCCGCGGCTGCTGTGGAGTTCATCGCATCCCTCCCCCGAGCCGAGCATCCTCCCCCCCAGCCCTTTCGGTCCGTGGCACGGCGGGGACGGGGGCGATGCGAACTTTGTGCGGCGCGGCACGTACGGCGCAGACGGGGCAGAAATGCCCCCCGGTGCCGCGGGGCGGGGGCAGGGCAGGGGGCGCGGGGCGGGGGCTGCGGCACACGCCGGGACGGGGCCGCGCCGGAGCCATTGGCCACCCGGAGCCATCAATCACCGCGGGGCGAGCCCGGCGCCCCGCGGGGCCGCGGCCGGGGCGGCCCGGCAGCCGGCGGCGGGCGGAGGCGGGGAGCGGCCGGAGCCCAGGTACCGGGGGTCGGGGCGGGGGGACGGGACGGGGCGGGGCGGGGGAGAGTCGGGGTCCGGCCGCCCCCGCTGCCTCCGCCGGGCTCGGTGGGTAGCTGGAGCGCGGAGTTGTCCGCCAAGTGCAGCGCAGCATCTCGGGGAGCGCGGAGTCCCGCGGGGCCGGAGCGCACCGTGAGTGCCGGGGGCTCCGGGGGCTCCGGGGCTCGGGCCGAGCGCGGCCCCGGGCGGGCGCAGCGTGCCTGGCGGTGCAGCAGCGCCGGCAGAGCGCACGGATCACCGGGAGGTGTTGACACGGGCTTAACCCTTCCCGGCTCCTGCCTCTCGGCGTTTGCTGCTGCAGCCCGGGCCCAGCTAGAGGCGAATGTTTGAAATTCAGATGAGCAAGGCGTAGATATTTTATTTGGGGAAATGGGTTTTTCGCGTGCCTTCGTGTGCATGGGCAGAGCTCGTGTGAGCGGCTGGCCGTGCGATGTAACGCTGCATGGAAATTGACTTAGCCGTGCAGATTTCGTGGCAGTTTTTTGACGGGGCGGCAGTGTACCGCTTTGCAAATAGCTGCACCCACGTTTGGGTCAGCCCTGTTCCGAAAAAGCTCCGGGTTGTACCTGTAACACTGGGCAGATGCGTACAATGGCACATCTCCTGGCTTGCTGCCGCTACAAATACACGCTGGAGAAGGATAACAGCCTGTATCTGGGAAAAGGCAACATGCTGAAAAAGCGTTATTTGGGGTTTTAATATAGGCATTCTTACTTAAAACTGCCTCGGAAGGTGTGGAAGACACTACGTGTTGTTTTACTTGATAGATGGGAAAATAATTCAACTTTTATGTTTTTGCACTCATCTTCTGTGAGTAACCTTCAAATAGTGCTCATAGTTGGAGAAAGAAGAATGGTAGCGATTCGAAGAAGTCTCTTTTAATTTCTTTTTCTTTAATCTTGGGCCTAAGATACGTTTGTTTTAAAGTTTTGAAGCGTTCAGCTTCTTTCTTCTATTTTCTTCAGAGACGTTCCCAGTAAAGAAGGTAATAATTAGATACTTCTGATAGTCGAGCTATAGTACTCTATGGAGTATTAAATGGAAATTAAGAGAATTGACACAGAAGCCAGCTTCAATTTTCATTTTTTTTACCCCCAGTCTGGCATTTGTTGTTGAATTTCATTTTAAAAGGATGCTTTGTTCAGCTTTGTCTCAGTTTAAGTACAGATTTATTTTTAAGATTAAAGATTAGAACAATGGGAAGCAATTGCAGCTTATACACTTATAGTCTTACTGAGAGTCAACTTAAAAGTATTTCGTACAGCTATCTCAGTGTCCTCTTGTCATTTGTTTTATGCCAGTTAGTTGTAATTTCTTTCTGGACTGCAACAAACAGTGTAAAAAATGCCTATTATCTTTATGTGTAATCCATTCTCATGAACAAATTAGATTTTTCTTCCATGAATGAACTATAATATGAAATTTAATGTTCTGACCTTTCTTATGCTGGGTTGCTGAAAACAGTGTCATTTAGCTTTTCTGATAGTCCAAGCATATTTTTTGTTGTTGGTTTAATGCATTTTTTTATATTGTTGCTTTTAATTGCAGAAAAAAACAACATTTTATGTGTAATTTTCTCACTACTTCTTAATGTATGAAGGCTCCAAAGTTCTTGCAGTGTAAAATAAAAACTCCTTATTGTTTTTTTTTTTCCTGGGAGCTCTGATGGCCTGTCTTGTTAATGATAGTCATTTCTCTGGCAGGAAGATGTTTTCATTTATATTTACTTCTCAGTACAGGGCAATTATGCTGCTCTGCGTTGTGCACTCTTCTTAGTTTCTATCTCAAAAGAACTGCAGCGCTTGAAACAGGACTGCAGTTTGAAGCAGGTGTTGTGTTTTACTGTTATGCAAAATAACACTAAAATATAATTGTAAAGGAAATTCGGGAAACAGGTGCAAACTTGGTGTGGTAACCACTACAGTTCTTGCAGCATCTTACATCGCATCTAGCACAGTAAAGATGTGTTCCAGCAAAGCTCACCCCTGATGATTTTTGCTGCTGAAACCTTGTTGTCATGAGAGAGGTCCATGAGGTCTCACAGGGGAGGACCAGGCTGTAACCACAGTTACAATGCTCTGCCATCTCCAGTGACAGTTTTGAAATCCACGCTTTAACTTTTAATTTCATCTTCATTTTTTTTTCCTTTTAATTTTTTCCTTTTTTCCTTCCAATACTAAAGAAGACGAAGGATAGAATCCAGTTGCTAGAATGAAGGTTGCGGGATGTCTTAACCCAACCAACATATGGAAGCCTACATAGGCCTGAGGTGGTAAAATAGTAAAATAAATGGCCTATAGCAGGCCATCTGCCATTTGCAGAGCGTTTTCATCGTGCCTCGTGCCAAACTGGAAATTACTCTTTGTATTAAAAATATATTTGGAATACAAATCAAAGATTTCAAATGCTCGGTGTTACACATGGCAAGCACATTTCTATCTGGGAGCTAGAGAAGCCCAGGGAAATTGCGCTGGAAAAATATTGCTTGGTTTGGTGCTTAGGGCTCAAGTAATTCTCTTCTCTTTCCCATCCCTTTGTCTTCTCAGTAAGCAAGGATTTACTTTTGTGAAATGCACTCCAGATAGGAAAAGTCCGCTCTTGCATGTGGCAGCTAAAGGGAGGAATTTCAGTGGGTTCCGAGAGTGGTGATTTCATGCAAGTCCTTGCAGCTAGTCCCAGCTGAGGATCTACCTCATAAACGGGGCTTTTACAGAGTGGCTCATCTTGAAAGTATCCTTCGACCATCAGCTGATCAATTCCCGATCCTCAGGATATTGACCGGAGACACTGGAGCCCGGGTTTTGCCCAGGAAGCTCAGCTGAGCGTGTTTGGGAGGTTCTGGCTCTTGGGCTGTGCTGGTACCACAGCACACACCCAGGCCTAACGCAAAATGTGTTTAAGAGCACTCTGAAGAAGCCAGACAGGGATGCAGAGAGAGGGAAGAGCCTTTTTCTTTCACCTTATGCAGAAACATGCATAAAATCGCGCTTTAATCAGATAAATCATTGCTGTCTGCTGACAGTGAATCCAAACCAGTTTCAGTGCTAGCGAGCTATAATGTGGATATTTTGTTAACATTGCCTAGATACTCGCCTTCCTCTGGGCACATAAACGCCTCGATTCAAAGGTACTTGGGTGTGCCTTTTGCTGTGCAATTGTAAAGTGTTCTCTACATCGGTTTCTTGCAAGTTTCTCAGTTGTTAGTGCTCTAAAGCTACAGCAGCGGCTTGAAAACAAGTGTGCAGGTTTGTGGAAAGTCCTCTGTCCTTCAGGAAGCTGGCTCCACTTGTGAGTTTTCGTGGTTGCAATTAAACGCAAGATGTTATTTAAAATCGAGGATATGAAATGAGGAGTATTTAAGGGGAGCTTTCAACACAGATATGTTATTCCCCCTTCCCCCACCCCCTGAAGATAAAGCCTTACTTTAAGCATTCATCCTTTGGATGTGTCTGATGATGATGGAGCTGGATGATGAAGTAATTAAAAAAAAAAAAAAAAGTGAATAGTAATGCGTGGAGAGGGGTGATGGGTACATCGGGAATATAGAAAAAGATCTCAAATCTGACTAGATCTCAAATCTGAATGGAAGTCAGGAGAGTGTAGAGCACTGGGTCAGGGTGTGTTTACATCTCATGGCTTACAGCAGCGTGTGCTGTCTGTCTCTCCTGGCAGAGGTCACGGAGTTGATGCGGAGCTGCTGGGAGTCAGGATCTGCCCGGACCACAATGCCCTGCCCTGCCCCTGGCCTTGGGAAGCTGTGAGCTGCTCATGTCCATAAGGAGGAAGGATGGCTCATGGAATTCCTTCACAAGGCAAAGTTACCATAACGGTGGATGAGTACAGCTCCAACCCAACGCAGGCGTTCACACACTACAACATCAACCAGAGCCGCTTCCAGCCTCCCCACGTGCATATGTGAGTATTCCCTGCCTGTGTGCCTGCTGTGTGCCTGACACCGGGACTGCTGCTCGGGGAGAGGCTGCCAAACTGGGAAATTGGCTTAGTTAGCCATGGGATCGAAAAGGCAGAATGTTAGCAGCTTTTGGACCTGGTGTGTCCGAGGGGTGAGGGGCCGGGCTCCGTCCTCTCCTGGATGGAGGCGCTTGTTTGCCACCATCTCGGTGGGACTCGGTGCCATCATCTCAGTGGGACTCGGTACCATCATCTCGATGGGATGGTGGAGCTCAATGGGTGCCACCACCTCGGTGGGACTTGGTGCCACCACCTCAGTGGGATGGTGGAGCTCGATGGGTGCCACCACCTCGGTGGGACTTCTTGGTGCCACCACCTCAGTGGGATGGTGGAGCTCGATGGGTGCCACCACCTCGGTGGGACTCAGTGCCACCATCTCAATGGGATGGTGGGGCTCGATGGGTGCCACCACCTCAGTGGGATGGTGGGGCTCGATGGGTGCCATCACCTCGGTGGGACTTGGTGCCACCATCTCGATGGGATGGTGGGGCTCGATGGGATGGTGGGGCTCAATGGGTGCCACCACCTAAGTGGGATGGTGGGGCTCGATGGGTGCCACCACCTCGGTGGGACTTGCCGTGCTCTCAAGCTTGTCACTTCACTGCTCTGGCTTTCGCTCGCCTGAGGGACCCATTGCTTTAAGATTTAAGCTCCCTTCCCCCAGCGCTTACACTCAGCTGCGAAATAGGCCTAATTGGGACTAATTGTCCCCCCCACCATCAGAGCATCCTTTGTCCTCCTGGTCGGAGCGGAACGTGTGCCGAATTCCGCATTCCGCGCGGGACCTGCCGCACAAAGGAGCCAAAGGAGCCAAAGGAGCCAAAGGAGCCAAAGGAGCCAAAGGAGCCAAAGGAGCCGGGGCTGCCCCTCCGAAGGGCTGCGAGCCCTCCCAGCGCTCCCTGCAGCACCAGCCCTGCCCGGTGGGCAGCTGCAGGTTCCTGCTGGCCTCACCTCCCTGTTCCTGGCTGCTCTGGCGCCCTGGTGGCACAATGGGCCGCTTGCTCAGCACAGCACCAGCTCCAACTCTGAATTTCCTTCCCATTGTTTAGCGGGGTTTGATCTTTATCGGTTATTTATGTGAAGGTTCTTTTTCTTTTAGCATTAATAGACTGAAAAGCACGTGAAACTAAAACAAAGCCGACATCCCTGGACATCCTGCGAGCCATTGTTAGGCAGGATTTTGAACCATGTCACACTATTGAATTTGATAAGGATTTTGCATAATAAGGGGGAAAAGTTGTATGGTACTTCATTGCATTTTTGTTATGTAGAAGCCTGCCGGAAGAGTCACAATGTAGGAGTTCAGCACCTTCTAATAGGATTTCTTGTGGTTACAATGTTCCTAAAGGCAACTTTAGGAAGGATGCTGAGTGTCTGTCGTGCATTCACTTTTCAAGGTGGAAAACTTTCCATTAATTACATTTGATTTATTAGTACTGTGGTGATATAACTTTGATTTTAGAAACATTTCCATGTCTCGATTCACTTTTTAGACCTTTTGCCAGCAAACTCCTGTTGCGTGTTTTGCACTCCAGGCTGTGCTCCTGACTGACATTAAATACAAATCTTTAAATGTAGAGAATGAATCAAAGCAAACAAAAGAAAATCAGAAGGCAGTTTTAAAGAACCTCGTCCTATTGACATTGACGTCAGTGGGAGCTGAATTTAGGACTAAGTGTGGTGTTCAACGCTGTAAAAATTGTTCATGCTTTGTTTAAAAACCTCACAAACATACAGGCACTCCTCTAAGGGATAGGGTAAAATGATACTAACTTGATGAATGTCTTGAAAGATACTTGCTTGGAAAAACTGTGTAGTTGAAATAAACACCGAAACTTCAAAGTGCGGTACAATGACAGAATTTTAAATAATTTTAAACTTAAATACTGCAACTTTCTTAAAATCAGAAATCTGGGGTTGGCAGAAGGTGTGGCGCATGAAAGGGAGATCAGAATTTGCAAAAACTGGCAACGAATTGGTCTCAGATCCACAGTGGAAGCAGACAGAAATGTTCCAGAGCAGGAGGTGAGTTCATAGGTCTGGGTAGCAAATGGCAGATTTTACAAAACCTGTTGAGAAAGAAAAGAGGGGCTCCTACCAGGTGGGCAGAGGAAAGCAAGGAAGTGGAGATCTGAGTGTGCTGAGGGTTTGTGTGATGTGAGAACAGCAGAGTTGTTGCTGGGGAGGAGAGACTGGATTGTGTGGTAGCTTCAGATGGACTCTTTGTCTTTTTAATGTATTGTAGTGGAAGTTTTGTGTGTTCATCTGAAAGAGGTTGTCATCAAGTGAGAAATCTTAACAGAAAATTGGTAAAAGCAGTATTAACAAAGAAACCATGATCTTTTTACCCTGTTCTGGCTCTGTTAGTGCTACATTGCTGCAGCTGCCAGGATTGATTTGATTTGGTTTTACAGTCTGCTTTTCTTTGTTGCTGTCTTTTAGAGTAATGCATGTGTGTGGTTTGTTGGTTTCTTTTTGGTTGGTTGGTTGTTTTTTTCCCTAAGAGGGAGTTTCAAGAGACTTTATTCTCTGGTGAAAAATTTATTTTAAAAATCGTGGGATGAAGAGAAATGAGTGAAGCAACATGGGAGCTGAGTTGTGTGACATGTATGTGAACAGCAGAGCAATCTATTGCTGCAGGACCTGCTGCATGCCATAAATCAGGAGCTGGGTGCTGCTTGAGGTCAGTGTTCTTTGCTAAAGGAAATACTGCTTTTAGAAGTAATTTCTCTGTGGTTGTGCATCTTCGTGTGCAAAGGTGAGAACTGTCTTTTTGGCCCCCACTGAGCCATTTACAAGGTCCTGTATCCTCTGGGCCTAACTCTGATTTCACAGAGAGCAGAGTCCATGGAATATTACCAGCATTACCTCCTGTAAGGCACTACTGGCACTGCTTTGCCAGTTCACATGTCCTGGGCTGCTTCTCACACTTTCATTTTATGCCTTTCATGTAGTTCAATCAGCTGGGATAGAGTTCTCTTATCTTTATATGTATTTTTATACTCCTTAGTCAATTTGTTTAAGCATAGTGTCAGTTAACAGCAGAGTATTTATTACAGCTCCCTTTGCTTGGGCTGGCAGCAACAGCAGCTTTGTCAGTACAGCTTCTGAATCAGTTTGTCCAACCATTTCATTTAATTTAATTGTGTTTCTCTCCTAATTAGTGTTTGAACAGGTATTCTAAAGGCAATTTTTGCTGCACAATTGTTTTGCATAAAGGGATGTAATCTTAAATATTATTTTGCTATCTTGAAGTGATGCTCCCACCCACAGGTTTCAGTTACTCTCTGACTGTTACAAAGTGTTTGTATTTGAATGCTTTGTCCAATTAGTGTTTACTTTCTGTTAGTTTTAATTAACAGCATCATCTTAGTTCCCTGCTTTCAAGGGCATCTGCAAAATAATAAATAACTATAGTATTATGGTTATTAATATTATAATAACTGTAATATGCTTCTCTGTGCTTCATGTTGATTACTGTTCTTTTGTGCGTTTTCATACTTCGAAATTTTTTGGCAAGAATTGTGATTTAAAGAGGGAAGTGCTCTTTAGGTGTATAAGAGTGTGTTTGAGGTTTTTTTGGATGTTTGTTTATTTATTTTTAAACCAAACCAGCTTTTAAGCTTGTTTAGACTTTTAAAATATTCTATATCAGCCTGCTAGCAGTGGTTCCAACCATACCAGTGAGCAGCAGTGGGATAGAGCCTGGGGATAAATTCAAATGAAAAACTACTTCCTTAGTTTTTAACCAGACAGAAAAATCTTCCTGTTTAGGTACAACACCCCATTTACTTGCAGAGGAAAAAAAAAAAAAGATAAGAGAAGAGTGAAATAAACCTGTATGTATTATGGAAAATGCCCCTTTGCCAGGCCTGTCTGGTGAGAATGAGGGAGTTTTGTGAAGATAAAATAGCTGCAGGCTGAGCCTTTTGGAGGAGTGGTGGCTTCTTTTTAGGGTAGTTTGAATGCATGTTAACACTTTGATATGGAATAAATTCAATAGTAGGGGAGTAAGAAAGAGGTTCCTGTGCCAGAGCAAAAGCCCTCTAAATAAGTTTATTCATACCTGGAGATACATTTTTCAATCTGTAACTATATAATTTTACTGCCTTTTCTGTACTAGAGCAATCCCTCATGTGAATGTTTTTATTTTAAAACAAAGAGTATAAGCACAGTTTTATATTGGTAGAAATATGTGTCTGGTTGAATAAAGTATATAAGTGTCGGTATGTAAATACATATATATAAAATCTGAAACATCAAAGTAGGGTACAGTGACAGAATTTAAAATAATTTTTAACTTAAATACTGCAACTTCCTCAAAATCAGAAATTTTGTTAAAAATTTTGGTTTAAAATCAGAATATAATAATAATAAAAAAATAAAAGCACAGCTGTTTGATCAGAGAAGAAAAAACTTTCAGCTGTGATGAAACCTGACATTGTTAGAAGCTAGAGATGTTATTAGACTGCTAACCTCGACAGAGAGGATCTTGATCTGTTTTTGTTTTTTTTTTCCCCTTTTCTTGGGGAAACCATTCTGCATTTAATGGGCTTTATAAACTCCCCCTGAGATTAGAGGGAAATGATGCATTTGATTTGCAGCATTCCCCGTTTTTGTTTTGTGTAAGGTGTGTGATATTCAGCGGGAGGGGAAAAGAGTTGGCGTTAGCAAAATATGAACTCACTTGACATTTAGAGAAAAGTGGAGCTGGTACATGTAATGTTATTGGTTGAGAGAAAAAGATTCAGTCTTACAGCAGTCAGCTGTGTGACTGGCCAGGCTGTTTCAGCTGCTGCTAGTAGTTTTGCTGGAAATTGCTGCTCTGGCCATTAGTTACACTCCTTTTCTTTATTTTTACAAAAGCATGCACAGCTTGTAACCATTCAGGTTTCTTTTCACTACTTATTTTTCCAAATAAATAAATAAAAAATAAACATATA